CAAACGACTTTGGGTGAAGTTGGTGAATCAAGTGTGGTTGCTAGGAGGAATGTTGCTCCTAATATAAATGATGACGATTTCATTAACGATGAAAATGACGATGATGATACGTACTCTTCAGATGAAGAAATAAATAATGAAAACTATGACAGTGATGGTGATGTTGTACATGTATATTGTTCTAGTGATGAATCTGATTGACGGTATGTTATTGTTATTATATGTCGTGATTGCTTATAATATTTGTTAACTTTTTAAATGTTGTTTATTTGTAGTTTTAATATATTTTCTGAATGTTTATAATATTTGTGAAACAGATGGCAGAAGTCGCGAGGGGACACGAAGGAGATGGTAGGGATAGACATCCACACGGGATTGCACGCGGTGTACCATCGGGTTGTCAATCTTGTAAGTTATATGAAGTTTTTAATTATTATATATATTAAAGTTTTAAATTTCTAAATTTCCAATTGTATATGTAAATATAGCACAAGCGAAGAATGTGAATGTGAATATGCGTGGCAAAGGGAGAAACTTAAATTTGTACGAGGAGTATGAAAAAAACAAGTGTAGGCCTTTGGATTTGAGAATTGATATCTCCGGGTGGACGTATGACATATCGATTTATACGGGACAACGGGCAAATGTTTGTCAGACTGATCTCAAATCTGGTGGGATCAAAGGTACCATTGCATTATCATACTTGGCGTCGTGTTCCTACCAAGTACAAAGTTGATTTATATCCCGAGCTAGAGGTAAATATACAATATATTTTATATGTATTGAATTTTACACTTATTAAATATTTTTTTACTAATCAAATATGTTTTTCGTTTTGCAGACTTATTTTGATATTAATAGGTATCGGGGCACAAACTTGTGGGAACCCCTTCGAGCGGGTATCCAAGCAGATATGCAAAGAGTTTATCGAGAGCGCAAGTATCAGATAAAAAAACATTTTGAAAGAGTTGGTGAATATCGTAATGTGGAAAGGGCAAGAAGACACCCACCGAATGATTGGACCGCCCAAGCTTGGAACAATATGATTGATTTGTTGTTTTTGACCGAGGAATACAGACGCACGTCGGAAAAAAATAAAGTTACTAGGTCGAAACTTCACACACAAGTGCTCACGGATGTAGACCCTATGCTCAACGGCGTTATTTAGAGGTAATAAAATACATTAGTATTATTTAAAATTGTTATTAACATTTGTACAAATATATTTATTATTTTTTCACTTATTATAGGAAAGAATGGGAATCAAGCCGCAACATATTGAGGGTTGGAGACAAATGCGCTACAAAGAAGGTTCGGGTTGGTGTACAAGTCGAGCAGAAGAAGACTGGGTAAGTGATAAACGAAATGAATATGTTGTTTAAATATATTATTATTAATTATAGTTTCTTGTTTAAGGAATATTATTATTTTTTGAATGTTTAAGTTTAGTTGTTTGTTTTAATTAATCGTATGTCAATTGTTTTCTTTATTTTAGGAGAAAATTCAAAATGAATATGAGAAAATGCAAAACGAGGTTGCGGAAGGAGGAGAAGTAAACGAGGAAGAATGTTTAGAACGTGCCCTTGGGACGAGACGTGGACATGCTCACGGGGTGGGTAGGCGACCAACCGCCAACTTAGGTTTAATTCCAAATGAACGGCCTTCCACTTCCAAATCGTGTCAATCTCAACCCCAATCTCAATCCCAATTCGATGCACAACAAATGCAAGAATATTTGCAACAATATAATGCATCATTGGCGGCTTGTATTCCGAACATCCAACCACCACCATTTCCTAACTTTCTATTCAACTATAACACACAAGCAAGTAGCTCTCAACAATTTGCCGAAAGGATGGAAGAAGAAGGAGAAGGAGAAGAAGAAGAAGAAGAAGAAGAAGAAGGAGAAGAAGAAGAAGAAAGAGAAGACGATTATGATAATGATGATTGATGTTTTTTTTAGTATTATCAACAATGTTAGTTAACTACTTATTGTAATATTAAACTTGAATTTGATGTTTTGAATTTGAACAATGGTACCTAGTTAATGTATTTCAATTGATATATGCTGCAATGCTTTTTGGATTTATTAAAAATGCAGGAATGGTAATGTACAAAACCTGTAAAGCTAAAAAAAAAAAAACAACAACGAGTAGCTATCCCGACGACTAGTCGTCGCTATAGGTCCATAACCGTTAACTCATAAAACCCTATAGCGACAACACGGCATCGTAATAGCTTCAAATTGTTTAGACGGCTAGTCGTCTCCATAGCTATCCCGACGACTTATCGTCGCCATAGGATTTTAATAAAACTTTAATTTTTCCCCCGAAAATGTTATTGACAAAATTTGTACCGACGACTTGTCGTCGCAATAGAGCGAGCTATACCGACAACATCTATGCCGACGACCTAACAGACCTATACCGACACGCTTGTGCCGACCACTTTTTTCCGACGACTTGTCGTCGCAATACCCTATGCCGACGACTTGTCGTCTCCATAGGGTCTGAAATTGTCGTCTCCACAGGGTCCGATTGTTGTAGTGAGAAATCAGGTGTTACAACTTAACTTTTCTTTTATATGTGGTTTGGGTTTTAGGTCTATCTAATTTACGTAAAGAATTTAAAAAGTTGTAGAAAATAAAATTTCATTTGATAAAAGCGGTTGAACCTACTAATTTATGCTAAACATTATCTCAAGTGAAATTGGTTTGCCCATGATATGCTTTGCAAAAACATAAATCTCAAATTCATTTTTGCAAATATATGTGTTCATCTTCTGATCCATGCTAAACTCTCTCAAATTCCATTGATTTTGAATAGTTCAAGCCTTATATAAACAACGATCAATCATTTGTAGTTCGTAATTAGGTTTTGGATTCAAATTTTCAAGAGAGATTTGCTTTGGTTTTGATTTTTGTTTAGTGTTAGTGTATCAAATTTAATTTGGCTATCCTAAACTTATCTTTTTATTTGAGTTTTCCATCCGAAAAAGGATAGTTGTTGGAATAGCATGGTTGGTTAAAAAAAACTATCATGGTATAGGCGTATAGCCGAAAACAACCTTTGTAACGGTGGTAAAACTTTATGATTAGTTGTAATTTTAAAATGAAATAGTCAACTCACCCAAAAAAAAAAAAAAGAAATTTACTATCTTTAAGTAATTAAGTTTAAAATTACTATCATTTAGTAAATAGTTTTTAAAAATACCACACGGTGGTACAAAGGGGGTGTTTGGGGTATCTTTTCAGAGGGTAAAATAACTTTTGGAAAAAGTTCCAAAAAGTTAGATTTCCCTAATTTTTTCAAAAAATGAGTTTCCATTCTTTAAAAAATCCAAAAAAAACTTTTAAGGAGTTTTCCCAAACATCTTTTCTCTATTATCTTTTCTTAAAAATCATTTTGCTCTCTCAAAAGATATCCCAAACACCCTCAAAATTCAAAAAGTAAGTCCTTATTTTTAGGGAATTATCTAGTTATACTTTATATTATTAAAGCAAATTAACATTTCGCAAATATCTTCATGTGGGCCTCCTTCGCTTTTAATTGGCATTCAACTCCCCTTCCCTTCAATTTTTGACGGAATTTATCAAACTAATCACTATTTTGAAAACTGAATCGAACCGATCGATTCAACTAGGAACTAGTTAGGTCACCGATTTTTAAATCCTTAAACACCCTTGAAAATGAACCGGTGAAAACTTCTAGTTCAACTAAAAACCAAACCACAACAGGTTATGATGAACAGAAAAAAAAAAAAAAAAAAAAAAAGCGAGATCTTATAGAAAACAAATTACAAAAATCAATTTTTTAAATAACGTAAGATGTGATTTGATGTCAATGTCAAGTCTTAAAAATTTCTAAATTTTGGCAAATCATGTCGTTTGTAAGACGTACAATAAGTACACAATTTTTTATATAATTAATATTTTTATATGTACTTTAAACTACTATTAATTTTTATACATATATATGAGATTAGGCAGCGTTTTGGTAAAACTTGACAACTTATACAAGTTTTGTAGCCATGATGTACCATGACGGAACTATGACGAACTTCTTAGAAGCTTGAAATAAATCTACTATTAGACCACTTAAAAGTCAAAACTTCAAAATGTAACCAAGGGGACCTAAAGCCTCTCGCTTTGGTTTTCAAGCAATGTTGGAAGTAGGATATATGTATATAGCCATCTAACGATCAGCCTTATTACTTCTTCTCTCGCTCATTCAATACAATCCAATATTTATATAAATTATTAGAAGGATTGTTTCGTATTAAAAGTTTAAAATCCAAAAATTATACAGGATCAAGCTCAAATGAGACCATATAATTTTGTAAAACATTGGATGTAATACTATCCATTTATTTTAATGATAAAAAAATATTAAATTGCAAAATAAATTGAAAATTTCAGTGTATATATATATATATATATATATATATATATATATATATATATATATATATATATATATATATATATATATATATATATATATATATATAAATTACACCATTAGTCCCTCGTGCATGTGTCCAAAAGCACCTTTGGTCCCTATTTTAAAAAATTAACTCGGACGGTCCCTAGGTTTGTTTTTTCTTACATGCTTAGTCCCTCCAGACATAAAAAGACGATTTTACCCTTAACGAATTCTTTTTTAATTTTCTTTTATTACTTTATTATTTTTACATTAAAAAGAAAAATAGAAAAAACGTATCTTCAAACCCCCCCCCCCCCCCCCCCCCCCCCCATTTTTTTTCTTTCTGTGTACTCGTTTCCCACTTTTCCTCTAACTACCGACAAACTGCAACCATGAAGCAGCCACCGACGAAATCTATTCATTCACTATCTTCTCTCTTCTGCAACCCAACGGACGACCACACATCTCATCCATTTCTTTATGTGCATCTCATGAACTCTATCTCAGCTACCATAGGAGCAAGGCAATCATCAGAGCAACCATCGCCGCCATCATTCATCTTCTGTACACCACCCTTCAAATGCACTCCTGCCAACACCCTTCTTCTGCATCATCATCCTCATTGAACAGAAAAAGAAGAACGAACTGAGAAGATAGAACGAACTCCCAACACCCTTCATCTTTATCTACATCATCATCCTCATTCCCGACGATAGGGTAACAGATCTGGTTTCTGATTCTCGATCTGTGGTTGTCGATCGAACTGAGAAGATAGAATAAGGTTTCACTATTGGAGGGGAATGAAGAAGGGAGTATTTGAGGCCGTTGCACCAGAAAATGTGGGTGGTCCATCGTTACACCAAACCTTAGCCGCCTCCTGTTTTTCCGGCGAGAGGGTATTGATACTGCAGTACTCCTTACACTTCTACCTTACCGTTCAGATCTGCACTCCAGCAAAACGCTAGATCCTCCGACGGTAATGATGATGGAGTGGTGACAAGTAGTGTTCAAAGGGGGTGGTTATCGGTTGTTGTACAGGAGGGTGGCGATGGTGAAGGAGGTGGTGGTTTTGTGGTTATTTTTCAGGGGAACAAGTGGTGTTTGGTTGTGCATTCCGGTGATGGTTGTGGAGATTTCAGTGGCGGTTGTGCATTCCGATGGTGTTTGTGCAGTCAAGTGGTGGTGGTGGTGCTTAAGTCTTCTCCAACAAAACAAAAAGATATACATATATATATATATATATATATATATATATATATATATATATATTAAGTTTAATAAATTAATAATAAATATTAAAAATAAATGAAAAATAAATTATAAAGGGCATTTTAGTCATTCCAATTCTCACAAGGGACGAAGCATGCAAATTTAAAGCAATGAGGGACGAAATATGTACCTTTTTACGATATAAGGGACGGTTCGAGTTAATTTTTAAAAATAGGGACTAAACATGCTTTTTGACACCTGCATGAGGGACTATTGGTGTAATTTACCCTATATATATATATATATATATATATATATATATATATATATATATATATATATATATATATATATATATATATATATATAACATTACCTTTTTTACATTATATGATAAAAAAATATTGTTAGGATATTCTGATATTCTATTATATATTACAATATAAATATTCAAATACAATTTTTAAAATATTTTAATATTCAATTAAAATTGTTAGATAATCAAATAAGCTACTAGAACTATTATTATATAGAGTAAATTACACGAATGTTCCCTATGGTTTAGGTAATTTTCACGTTTGGTCTCTAACTTATTTTTTTAACTCGGAAAGTCCTTACTGTTTGTTTTTATTACGCGTTTGGTCCCTGTCTTACATAAAAAGTCTATTTTTCTTTTTATTTTTTAATTTATTTAAATAAACACACCCCTAATCTCACATTTCTCACCTTATCTTATGTATCCCATCATTTTTTTTTCCTATTTAAATAATAATCTTTTTAGGTATGACAGAGACCAAGCGCGTAACAAAAACAAACAATAGGGATCAAACACGTAATAAAAACAATCAGTAGGGACCTTCCGAGTTAAAAAAATAAATTAAGGACCAAACACGCAAATTACACAAAACCATAGGGACCATTCGTGTAATTTACTCTATTTTACATATATATATATATATATATATATATATATATATATATATATATATATATATATATATATATATATATATTATATATATATATATATATAATAAGCTACCCACATAGCGTCAAACTACGAATATTTTAGTTGAGCAGTTTAATTCAGAAACATATTACATTTTTAGGAACACTCGTATTGCTATTTATCGGTTATGCAACAATGAATAGTTGTAACCCTCACAATATACAGAATCCAATCCATTTAGTGAAATTCAATTCTAACATTTTTATTTTATTTATTTTATTTTTTTATACATTTGTAGCAAATTACAAATCTATCCTAGATAGACTTCTTGTTCCCAAAGCTATGTTGAAACCGATATCAACCTTTAGCTATTGTAGATTTTTTTTTAAAACATTACAATATATTTTACAGAAAATTAGAATAAAATGCACGAATTTGATTGTAGATTTTCTAAATATTTTATACCAGAAAGTTAGAAATAGAATTTCTTTGGTTTCATGAATCTTGAAACCATGGAGTAAAGTATTTTGTTTCATGTCTTTAATTGGATTACCCTTTTAAATGTATTATCTAAACTTGGGAATTGGTTGGAATTCAATTCTGATGCTTATAAAATCCCACAAAAATACTGCGAACAAAAGGCAACTAAAACTTTAGAAGCGAATGCATTTTAGATTTCATCCCTTAGGCATGGATTCCATTATTTCATTTCGTTACTTGGTTTCTCCACTTGAAATATAGTAATTACAACAATTATAACCTACAATTAAAAAAAGTTCTTGAATCACAAATTATGCTAGTTTAAAATAAAAATACATATCTTGACAAGCAAGAATTCAATATTCATCACAAATATATCGACTAGATTTGTTTATTGGACAATCACTTCCTTTTATTGTTACCATCATGGCCACTTGCGAAAATAAACATCCATATCTCAACCACATCACAAAGAAAGTCTAAATATGGTGTTGGATCAGGTATATTTGCATTCACCTTCTCGAATTCCATAGTCCCGATAACCAACTTCTTATGGCCCATATCTTCAATATTAACCGTGAGGATTAAGGGATTATACACCTCCAACACTCCTCCTTTCAATTACTTTGAACACAATTTTGTGTAATTCATCATCAACTTCTTTCGTTTCCATATCCTCGGGATCAAATCCGTGTTTTTGGTCTCCGTAGGAAAATTTTCGACTTGTAAAGTTTCTGGTTTTGGACTTTTGGTGAAAAGTTATTTGAAGAGATTCGTTGATTTTAAGGTAAATGATCCAATCCAGAAAGGTTCATCATCCACTAGTCTGATTGGTTCAAATAATTGACAATACTGTCTTTCACTGTTTGCTTGATTGCTAACCCTCTCATTTGGTTCTTTACCAGTTAAGACAGTCATCAGTGTTATGAAGTTTCTATGGTAAGACGACACTACATATTAGTTAAATCGCATGGGAATCCGTGATTTCTTTTCTGTATTTATTTAAGAGCACCACCAAAACACCAAAACAAAATGATTTAACGCTTTAAAGGTCATGCTGATCAAAACCTTAAAAAGCAAAATAAAAGTCTTAAAACCATTAAGCACATTACATAAACCATTCCGAAGTCTTAAACTTATAGAAAGCATAAACAACAAACGTGACTATCAAAAGTGAGTTTTAGTTTCAAAAATCAAGCAAAAAGATGAAACAATTCCCACACAAGTAACTTAAATACACCATAAGCCCATGCTAGTTTACAATACAAACACATATCTTCACAAGCATCAATATTTATAAATACACCAGCAGCTGACATTTATTTATTGGACAATCACTTCCCTTTAACACCATAACACCAAGCAAGTCCCTGTTGGAGCTGATAATGTCAGCGACATTAATTTAGTGAATATATCGGCGACATGATGGTTACTTGAGAAAATGAGAATCCATTTTTCCAGCTATTCCACAAACCAAGTCCAGATACGATGTTGGATCTGGTATGCTTGCATTCGCCTTCTCGAACTCTATAGTCCAGATAACAAACTTCTTATCGCCAACATCTTTGGTCGTAAGGATGAAGCTAAAGGAATTATACACCTCCAAGATATCTCCTTCAATCACTTTGAAAACAATTTTGTGCAATTCATCATCAACTTCTTCAATGATTTCTTTCGCAGTTTCCTTTTTTCCATCTACGAAAAAACCAGAAGTAGTTTGTACATATATATATATACATGCATAGATGTGTGTGTATGTGTGTTGGTATATCCCCAACATAGAACAAGTTCATACGTTAGTAGTTTACCATGGTAGTAGTGCCACTGAAGGACAGCTCCTGGAACACCCCATTGACCAGAAATTAAATGGCAAGCTTCAACCTTCTCAGGGTGGACGAGTGACGAGTCGTGTGGCCTGTGCTTGTAGAGTTCAAAGACCAGGTGACGATGACATTTGATTTCAACTTCACGTGATATCTTTCCTGCTATAGCCATCTTTTTCCTTGCGAGCAATAGCTATATAGCTAGTTGTCCTCTCTGATGGTAGTACTTGAACAACTGATGCATGAGGCATGCACTTATATAATGGATGTCGCTCGTGTTTTTCTACTTGTACCAGTGATTGTATGCTTGTACATCTTCAAGCTTTACATGACATTGAAATGTTAACAAAGATTTATACTGTGAGGCCAATACCAACAGATGGCTATACCATTACTGATAAAGGACTTTGTCCGGGGAAGGTTTTAGATACCAACACTGAAAAATCCGGCCTTCGATACACATGAGCATATTTCTTAAATATTAGGTAGGCTTTTAGTAAAAACTACGAAGTTTTTACTATAGTTTTTATCATACTACTGTTAGTAGCACCTTTATCTCAGCCTAAACAAAGATAAAATGTTTTGAACAATCTTAGACCTTTCAAAACAAAAATGCTGTGAGTTGCTATGGGAAATTTGAATAAATCATAAAAAATACGAAGACTAAAGGAAAATACGATTTGATCTGGCATTGCGTGTCGTATCTACTTATTTATATATTATTTATGTATATATATATATATATATATATATATATATATATATATATATATATATATATATATATATATATATATATATATATATATATATAAACTAATATCATAAAAATACGTTTTTTCTATTAAAAAAAAACCGTTAGCAGTGACACCTTTAGGGACGGCGTGGACTAATTGCGACGACACGTAACTCCGGTAAGCTTTGCCAGAAAAACACTCACTACAAGAAACCGGAGTATTACCGGCGACACCTTTAGCGGCGACATGGGTCAAAAGCGACGACATGTAATTGATGCATTACATGTCGCCGCTATTGACTTATGTCGCCGCTAAAGGCGTCGCCGGTAATACTCGCAAACGGCGATCCGCGTCAACTTACCCCCATCCGTCCGATTTGTTTTCAATCCAACGGCTGTACAGGAAAGCAAAAACGCGCTGACCTTTCCCTCCAAGGTGTCACCGCTAATACCCTAGTGTCGCTGCTATTACCTGTCGCCGCTAATACCAAGCGCAGATTACCCCCCTTCCAGTTCCCTTTTCTGCGACATTTCTCTTGTTTCTTTCTTCTCTCGCTCTCGTTTCTTGTTCCGCTTCTCAAAAAATAGTGGACTAGTTAATTAAGTGGTAGTTAATTAAGTGGAGGAAGAACATTAAGGTGGTGATAGCCCTCCTGCCACCACAAGACCGCCACTCCTTCCCCATTACCGGCTACCATTGAGCTCATTTCCAAAACTGCCCTCATTCAAGGTTTAATTCCTCCTATTTGCTATCATTTGTTTGTTTTGGATGATCAATTGGTTTGATTATGTTGGAAATTGCCTCTTCAATTGGTAATTGCCTCTTGAATTGTTATAGATCACCTATAAACACAAGACCATTAGTATTTTTTTTTGTTGCTTTTGTGCTTGATTCTTGCTGAACGATGAGGAAGAAGCAGGAGGTATCAAACCTCCTGATTTAACCAAACTCTTTTACAAAGTATATATGATCAGCCCCTCAACTTTTGATTTGTACGGTTTTCGTCACTTGCTCTAAAAAATAATTAAAAGTTTAGTCTTAAACAAAGAAACTTCAATTAAAATCTTCAAAGTTTACCCTATTGAAATTTGGCATGTTTTTGTAATTTTTGTTTATATCACATTGGCTAAAAAAATGAAATTTGGCATGTTTTTGTAATTTTTGTTTATACCACATTGACTTAAAAATGGAATTTGTGTATGTTTTTGTAATTTTTGTTTATACCACATTGGCATGAAATTTAAATTGGATGTATATATATACATTTGTTTGATTTTTTTTTTTAATTAGAAAATCAAATTAACTTATTTTTAGAATCAAATTAAGTTACCTTTATAAAATCAAATTAAATCAATTATAAAACCAACTTAATAGTAACATACTTTTAGTGACTTAATGTTGGCCATTACAACTTTAGCTTAATTAGGTTATTAATAACAACGTACTTCTAGTAATTTAAATTTAATTATAAAATAAAATGAAATTAGTTTTAAAAAAATCAATAAAAAATAAAAAATTAATTGTAAAATCTAATTAAAGTAGTTTTACAATCAAGTTAATGTTAATATTAAAATAAAATAAAATTAGTTAAAAAAATTAAACTAAATTAATATATATATATATATATATATATATATATATATATATATATATATATATATATATATATATATATATACTTTTTTAATATTTTATCCATTTCTAATTAGGTTATTAATAGTAACATACTTTTAGTGACTTAATGTTGGTCATTACAACTTTAGCTTAATTGGGTTATTAATAGCAATGTACTTCTAGTAATTTTAATTTAATTATCAAATAAAATTAAATTAATTTTTAAAAAATCAATAAAAATAATAAATTAATTGTTAAATCAAATTAAAGTAGTTTTAAAATCAAGTTAATGTTAATATTAAAATAAAATAAAATTAGTTTAAAAAATTAAACTAAATTAATATATATATATATATATATATATATATATATATATATATATATATATATACTCTTTTAATATTTTATCCATTTCTAATTATTTGTTCATATGTTCCCATGTTGGGATACTTTTTGAATCATCAACTTTATGAATACTCTACTTGATTTTCATTTCCCATAGAGTAAACCTTAATCACTAAATTATTTTTCAGTTGCATCATGTCTTTTGATAAAAGCTGGACTACTAATCCACATCGTCAATCTCCCAAGTTCCAGCTAGGACTCGACTTGTTTGTCGAGAGATCCATGTTACACCTACATTGTAAAGGTGAAACCAGATGTCCGTGTGAGAAATGTGATAATCGTTACTTCATGGATCCGAAAGCAATGAGATGTGATGTTCGTATATATGGTTTCAGTCAATCATACGACACGTGGATATATCATGGTGAACCTTTAATCCCTCCAGTTGTAGATGTCGTATCACCAAGCAACGCGATGGCTGATGTTATTGACGATGTTATGTGGGAGTTGAGAGAAATGATACAAACCTCGATGAAGGAACCTCGAATACAGGGGGTAGTGGTGTCGATGATGATTTTGAAGAGTTGTTAGAGTTAGTCGAAACCAAGTTATATCCTGGTTGTAGGTTAGAGGCAGTCGAAACCAAGTTATATCCTGGTAGATGTATGTTTAAGTGTATTTGATATGTTGATATTTTGATATTTTGTAGAATGGTGTAATTAATTATAATGTTATTCTGATATGTTGTTAATATATTTTGTTTTCTTTATAGTTGCAAATGTTGTAAACAATACTATAGGACCCTGTATGTTCTGCAACATTGGAAGAGTGGTTTCGCTCATTGCCGCCACCAAATAATGAAGGAAAATGATCAAGAGGACGGGTAGTTACTTTAGGATTTTATGAAACGTTTTGTAATTTGGAAGAATACTTAATGTGGTATGAATTAATATTTTAGATTGATTGTATAATATGTATTAATATTTCTATAAAAACTTATCAGATTTTTTAAATGCTATATGGATTAATATTTGGATTGATTATAAATTTAATGTTAAATAAAAAAAAATCAAAAGAGTATTAGCGACGACAACTTTTGTGGCGACATGTACGTATTTGCGGCGACAACGTATTAGCGGCTACACGCAGCATTAGCGACGATGCATACTATTAGTGGCGACAGTGAGTACTAGTGACGACAACAAGCGTATTAGCGACAAAGCAATACCGGCGACGCATTTGCGGCGACAGGTCGCCGCTAAAGGTGTTAGCGTCGACACGCCTAGCTGTTGCCCAATCTTCTTGTAGTGACCGGCCGTTAGCCGGAATATAAATACAGACGACGTCAATAGCCATGAAACAGGAGTATTAGAGACGAGAATTATTAGCGACAATAGTATTTGCGACGACAAACGAGCAATAGCTACGAGGTAATTGCGATGACGATTTAGCGACAACATGGGGCATCAATTGCGACGACATTTGTCGCCGCCAAAGGCTACATTTTTTGTTGTGGGCGATGCGTTAGTGACGATCTTGACGCCGCTAAAGATATTAGCAACAATATTTTGTGTCTTTTGCGGTGATATTTGTCACTACTAATGCTATTATACTTGTTATGTAGGATTTTTAGAGACATATAAGAAAACGTGAAAAGCTAGGAGTTCGTTGGGAATGCGGACGAAAGGAATTCATAATAAGTTAAAGAGGTGAAGTGGAAGGAATACGTTGGTCTACCTAATTTACATAAAGAATTAGGCCGCTTCTACATTACAAAATTTACCTAAGTAATTAGGTGGCTTCTATGTTACAAAAATTAAAAAAATAAATAAATAAATACATAAATAAATAAAGATTTAAAAAAAAAAAACTTAACTCAAAGTTTTTCTCTTATATCTAGTTTTGGTTTTAGGTCTATCTAATTTACCTAAAGAAATAAAAAAAGTTGTAGAAAATAAAATGTCATATTCAAGTTACAAGTTTCGAGCTAACATGTTTATTTTGTATCAAGTTTGTATCGTGTGTAATTTTCGTTTTTGTAACCTTTATATGCAATTAAAAAATTACTTAGCAAATCTTTTTATTATAATAAATGAATAGGTTTAATGTCATATTGACAAGTGGTGTTATATTAGAACCCCTCATTAAAATTATATTCCTTATTATGCCACTTGTTAACATATTAATTATTCATTTCAAATTTCAAAATTAAAATTTTCTCACCCTAATTACATTAAATTTTAAATTTTAAATTTCAAAATTTTTCACTTTGATTATATTGAATTACTAACATTAGATTAAAAAATATAATTATATTAATACAGATTTTAATATGATATAACTTCACATATTTATTTAAATCAACGATTATAACTTTATATATAAGTAAAAAAAATATATGTGAAGTAATAATTTATTTAAAATAATTGATTAATAATTTTGATTTTTAATATAGAATTTTAATTAATTTTATAACCGTGGTTCTCAAGGGTTATAAACTAATATTATAATATTACGAATATGCTTAAAACAACAAATTTACCAGAGACAATTTCTTGCATACTGGCATGATGCGCCGAACCTATTTAGTTTTCGAATAGAAAATCATAAAAATTTTAGCTACATAAATAAAGATGTTTTAATAAAATAACCATAAATTGAAGAATTTCCACACAATATCACATATTTTTGAATGGAGAAATTAAATATCCTCCTACCTTTTGTTCCTATATATCCTCATATCCAATGAAATTGTGACATATGTAACATTTAATGCTCATTTAATAAGATTTAATGATATTTTAGAATACTAATATGACATATGTCATCATTTAAATGGGTAGGAGAATTGGTAGGATCAAAAGTAGAAGGATTTTTAATTTCTCTTTGGAATGA